CAAAATTTACATAATACAGAGCGGAGCCAAAGAAAACTGAAAAAAGTTGAATGTTAAAAACTGTAGAAACAACTGTGCTCCTAAGTTTTTTCACACGAAAAATAACGAGTTTTGCTAGTCAGTTTGTAAAAAATGTCATTTTGTGTCAATTTTGCTTTTTCCATCAAAAAATGACTTCCCCAAAAGTCCTGTGGAAGAACATTTTCGATACAACGACCAGAAGCAATTTTATACCTCTGTGATACTTTCATTCATTCTTATAATAAATTGTTACCGGTATAAAAGGTACAAATCTGTCACCAGTTCGCTTCTATGCTGCCTTCAGAAAAGACAGCTATCCAAACCCCTGCCAACGAATGGTTGCTATTGGCAGTTGCTACACTCGACCATTTCAGAGTGCCTTCGCTTGTCATAGAGTTAATACAGGGCGGGGAGGGGAGGAGAGGAGGGGAGTTTGACGTACAGATTTTCGAATTCAGTGCGTATTGACCGGTAAAACAAACGGCTATCTCCATAGAACCACTCTCAGCAAAACCCAAGGAGTTCCAAGTGTAGTAAGACTAAGGCTAAAAATAAGACAGTCGAACAGCGGGCAGAGTTTTTTCGCACCTAAGTCAATTTTTTTTTCGTTTCGTCTTTTTCAATTTTTGGATGCATTTGTTGCTTGCTGTTCAGCTTGCAAGAAAGATATGAGACTGAGGTTTCATGAAATTTCACCCGTACCATTTCATCATCGTCTATTTCATCGTGCTGCGCACTTCGTGATGACATATCTCCGCTACTTTCGGCCACTTGACTTGCTTCTCCATTACTATTGTTATTAGTGATATTGTTGTTGTTAATGGGCTCGGTCATTTGATGATAACGAGTGACACTGGCTGCTCCATCGCTGGACGATGTACCGGGCTGCGGCATTTCAACACTCACGTCCGTCATCATCACCGTAGCTGCGGATGCCGGCATCCTGCATCAGACACTGAAAAATGAATCACAAATCAGTTTGCATCTGGATATTAAAGTCACAGAAACGAATAACTCGCCAGAGCACCCACTGCCGGTGCGAAGGTGCGTTTTTTGCACAGTTCACAGCAGTTTTTTTCCGCTTATGGCACTATTTTTCCCGGCAAATGCTTCTAGCTAAAAGAATTGAGAGTGGCTACTATGGCCGTCAGAAAACATCCTTTAAAATTTCAGCTTTCTAGCTTTTCTGGTTCGTGAATCAGCAAATTACCCGCCAACAACTTTCACGGGCTTGTAGGTGAGAACCACTTGAGTAAGAGATTTTGGAAACGGGGTCCCGTACATGCATGTATATTAAGTTCCCAAAGTTTCAGCTTTGTAGCTTTTGTACGTCTAGCGATGAAAAATCGATACAAATGCACATTCAGACAATCCCTCGACAATATGCGTTTTTGCATTGCATAGATGCAAAAAAAAAGCATAGAAATGATAAGTAGCGAAACAAGCATTTATAATGGACTAAGCACAAAACAAGCGTTTATAATTGAACTAATATTAGAAAGCATCTGATTATCAGAAGTGCCAAGACTGCCAAACGGTCAATTAAAGTAAGAAAAAAGCAAAAATAATGATTCAAAAAACTTTGAAAAACTAAAAATATGGGCGATTGTTTCCGCATTTCATATTATCTTACACAGGCAAAAGGTAGCTATCCGCGATTTGAGTGACAGCGCAATCAGCAGTAGTGACAAATCTGCCTCTAGTTTTTTCTGAGAACTGCCTGAAGAGGGTGCTGTTCATGCAAGTAAAAGTTTACCAACGAAAAAAGAAAAATCGCTGAGTAATATTTTTTCAAGTAATAAGTTCTAAACACTATGCCTCAAATGGCCTGTACACGAGGTGCAACAAGAACCGGAGCCAACTTGTCTCTTACAAAATCGAATCCAAGCTGGGAGGGGCCAGGCTTGCCGATATGATCAAGCGTTTTGCGCTAAACCTCAAACAATCAGATCGTTGACAGCAAGAGTGGTATCTGTTTTGTGCTATAACATGAGAAATCATGCTGGCAGTGGTTTGTCCTTTTCCTGCATACAGGGGGAAACGACGCCGGCTGGGATGGTTGTTTTCATCACGGATCCGCGCGAACCTCAAGCACGCATGGATGCCAATTTTCTGCGTGAAGCCCAGTCGTTTTTTCGATTGACGGTTGTTCACCAGAGAAATGCAAATTTGAAAGAAGTCAGAAAAGAATTGCAAGATCTGCAAAGTGCACTCGTTTTTGAGTTTGTGGTAAAATCTAGTGTGTCATGCTCGCATGTAGAAAATATCATCTACTAGATAAATTAAAGCCACACGTG